AGAGGCAGAACTGCCAAGTAAAGTGATGTCAACTCCCAGAGGCAGCGGAGAAGGGGACAGAGGAGCTGGATGCGCGGGAGACAGAGCAAAAGGCAAAGACAGGGCGGAGGAGAGGAGGGCAAGGCCGGGCTAGGAAAGCAGGGCTCCTCCACTGAGGAAAAGCTTCTGGGGAGATGAGCAAAGCCTATGCCATACAGTTTTTTTAAACACCCTTTGCCAGTGTGAAGTCATTTGGGTATTTTAAGATCATGTGATGCATTATGCATATCTCCTTTTTGTTGAAGGAAATCATGGTTAGTATATTTAAAGACGTGAATGCCTGGAAAATTATAGGGGGAGAAATGTGGGATTTTTTTTTTCCCTTGAATTTTCTGGGTTTCTCAAAACTTTCACATCTGCACCCAGCTTCCTGGAGAATTGGGCAGAGGAAGGAAGGTTCTGGAGAGAAAATTCCTGCTTCCTCCTTCTCCTCTTTGCAGGCTGTGCCCATCTGGACCTGGAATCAGCAGCCCAGGGTCCGCCTCTGCCTCTGCTCTCAGGCCTCCGAGGCTTGTTCCCCATCCCTCAAGGAAGAGAAAATTGCACAGGCCTTTGGAAGCACAATCTCAGGCTCCCCTCCAAGGCCTCCAGCCTGCCTCAACCATGGGGGCGCAGCGCCTCCTGGAGGCCATAATAGAGAATGCAGCATTAGGAGGGATTCCATCTCCAGTCCTGGGGGGGCGGGTAAGGAGGAAGTAAAAGTTCTGAGCCAACTTAACTACAAGTGCATATGCAGCCCCACCCTATGAAACACCGTAAACATTAGGGAATACTGAGAGGGGTGGCATGCCTGCAGTTTTAGCAATTTGGACATTAATATTAGTATGACCTCATTTGTACCCCCTCTTCCCCCAGCCTAGAGAATACTCGGGTTAGAGATCCACAGTACCGGGCACACTAGGTGCTTAATAAATGCTTGTTACACTCAGCTGTGGCCTCCAGGGTCATGGCCCAGTCCTGGAGGGTTCTGGATTTGAGGTGCCTGATGTGAGGCAATGGTTTTGGCAGATCAGAGGGTAAAGGGCAAGTGAGGGCCTGTTAATGGCACTTGGCAGGCCCTCACCCAGGTCTGGTTCCCCCTGGCCAATGCCCCTGTCACCGGCTCTGCCTCCTGTGCTCCATTCTTGGGGAAGGGAGATGCGAGGTCCCTGGGCTGGCATCTGGAAGACAATAAGGCAGCTGCCGGGGAAGTGACTAATGAGCACTCCAGGGAGCAATTCAGGACATCATACATGGAAACTTATCTCATTCAAAATTGATAAGCGAACACTATCTAATTAGAGGGAATGTGCTGAGCGCCCTGGCTTTCTGGGCATGTGGTTCTGAGGCTGTGGCAGGCAGCTAGCGTGGAGAGGGCCCACATCTCTCGGACCAGCCGCCCTGAGGGGGGCCTCGAAACCGCCCGCTGGTCCCCCATCCACCTGCTGTCATCTCATACACATGCAAAATGTCAGAGCTGAATGAAGCCTTGGAAAGCCTCTCATTCAAATCGCTCCTTTTATAGATGGGACTGAGGCCCAGAGAGCTTAAATGCTCCATGAAGATCACACAGCAAGAGAGCCAGGACCGGAGAGAAACCCTGCCTTTGGACTCCCAGACCAGGCCATTGACCACCATGCAAGGACACTGCCCAGACTTCCTTGTGCTGGGTCCTCAAAGCTCTGGTGAGGTCACTGGACGTGGATATTCCTCTACACAGTCTATCCATCTTGACCTCAGGCCCTAAGAGAGGTCCTTCATTCACTCCTTAGAGCCAGGTCATGGCTCTCATCTCTGGTCCAAAAACCAACTCCCACAGGCAGGCTTCCAGGATTGTCCCCCCACCCCCACCCCCATCTATCTCGTTTGCCAATTTACTCATTTATTCCATGCACATCCAGGGGTTAAGAGCTCGGGCTCTGGGGTCAGACTGCCTGGGCTTAAACCTTGTCTCTCTCATGTGCCTGGGCAACACCTGACCTCTCAGGGCCCTGATCTTCTTTTCTCTAAAGTAAGAATAATACACCCCTGCCTCAGGCTGAGGACTAAATAATATCTATCATGTACAGCATTTAGCAGGTACCTAGCAAAAAGCAAACACTAAAGTTTAAAAAATTCTAGTTAGTGTATAAGTAGCGACCTAAAAATTGTCCTGAAGGAGATACAAGATACAGTTTCTGCCCAAGACATGGGCAGTATGGTTCAGAGCAGGAATAGGCCCTGGCTGATGTGGCTCAGTGGGTTGGATATCACCCTGTAAAACAAAGGGTCACCAGTTCGATTCCAGGTCAGGGTGTATGCCTGGGCTGCGGGGCCAGGTCCCCCGCTGGAGGTGTGCAAGAAGAGGCAACGGATCAATGTTTCTCTTGTGCATTGATGTTTCTCTCCCTTTCTTCCTCTCTTCCTCTCTCTCTAAAAATATAAATTAAAAAATCTTTTTTAAAAAAAGAGCTGGAATAGGAAGACTGTTCTATGGGCTCTCAGAGGTGAGGCACCTAGCTAGGTGGGGAGGGGCGGGAAGGTTTTCTGTAGGAGACACAGTGGAGTCTGAAAGGGCGAGGCAATGTCAGCAAGGTGCAGAGCCAGCAAGGCATGTTTAAGGGCGCTCCACAGCTGTGCTGCTGGAGCCGCAGTGGGGGACAGAGAGGGGTGCATGGTTGCGGGGTGGGGGGGCGCTTGGAGATGGCCGCACTGGCTTTGTGTGCCACAGAGGAGCCAGCCCTTGGGCCTAGAGATGACAGGGAGACTGGGGAAGGGTTTTAAGCAAAGGGTCGTGGTCAGGGTGGTGTTTGAATTAGCCCATTCTAGGGTCTGCAGAGGATGTGTTCTCTGCCTGGCTCTTCTTCGGCCATGATCTATTGCCCTTGGCTGGTGTATTTTTGAATAGTCGGGGACTCTGCTCTACCCAGGCCAGTCTCAAAAGCCCCTCCCAGTTCCCGTGTGCTGTGAACCACAAATATCACCAACAGCCCAGAGTCTCCCTACCCGCACACTAGGATGCACTCAAAGACAACTCTGACCCGGTGAATGTAGACACTGTCTTCTCATTTTTGCATCTCCAGGCACAGAATGTACATTTAGCAAATGTTTGTTAGGTGAATAAATGCCCCCCAATGACATGAGAGCTCCTTTGCGCATTCCTGAGGCCCCGTGGGATCACGAGTGTCAGATCGCTCGGCCGACCGGAGTGCGTGTGGCCTGGGACCAGGTTTGTAAACAAAGGGGGTCAGGTTGGCCAAGTTTGTCCTGCTGTTTGCTTTTTAGTTTTTTTCACATATTGTTTGCTTCTTGAATTTTTCATCCTAACTCTGAATGACGTAGGGTTCCAAAGCTGCCTTCCGGCTCCTGCTCCACCAGGACCAGCTGGGGACCTGTGGCTATGAAACTAGGGTGTGGCTGGTGACTCCCGACTCTCTGTTACCTGTTGGACAGCTTTCTTTCTTAGCTTCTCAGGCTTCATGTGATAAAAAGGCCAAGGGTGTAGGCTTTCGAGTCAGACCGGGCAGCCTTGAGCAAATCACAGAACCTATAAAAGGGGGTGGGTAATGCAACCTCCCCTGATTGTTTGCTGTCTTTTTTAATTCTCCCCCAAGGATATGTTTATTGATTTTTAAAGAGAAAGGAAAGGAGACAGAAACACTTACTGGAGAGAAAAACAATTGGTTGCCTCCGTTCATGCCCCATTCGGGGATCAAGCCTGCAACCTAGTATGTGCCCCCAAACAGGGAACAAACCCGCAAACTTTTGATGCACCTGACAGCCCTCCAGCTGAGCCAAGAATTTACCATCGCCTGGCTCATGATATGTGGCTGCAGGGAAAAAGTAACCCCCTGCAAGCCTCGCTCTTCTCACTTGGAAAGGGCGGAGAGCCAATACCCACTAGTAGCACCCCAAGCCTTGAGGCACATAAAGTGCTGAGAACAGACATTCAAAACACCGGGAGCAGTTGTTCAACTCGATCCCTGCCTGATGCTGCCTGCCTAGCACTCAAGTGACCGGGCATCAGGGTTGACTTGGAGGGCTGGCGTCCCTCCTTTCCCATCGCTCTGATCAGATTGACTGACAAAATCTCCACCAAGGACTGAGCTCTGATAGATTACCACACAGCCCCCTACCCCCGTGGTCCATCTATGCTCTCCTAACACCTGGACGCTCTTACACAGCTGCAGAAAGGAAAAGGAAATACGGAAAGGACAAGGCGGGCAGATGCTCTCAAGGTGCTGAGGTCACTCCCAAGGGCCGCCCCGCCCCCTGCCCCGCCCCGAAGGCTCCGCTGTGTAAAACCAAGGTCTTATGTAAAACCAGGGTCTTAGCGTCTCACTGAAGGCACTCAGCCTGGCCGGCGGGTTCTCCCCGCTTCTGCCTGTTCCTCCACAGCAGTGCCCTTCTCCTAACTTGGGGAACGAGTGTTTTGTGGGGTGTTCCTCTCCCCCAGCCCCCCCCACTGGTCAGCATGATGGATGGGGAGCTTTGGAAACAACTTGGTTTCAAATGGGACCCAGCACTTAATAGCATTGTGCCCTCAGCCCGTGAACTTCCCCCTCTGGGCTTACTTCCTCCTCTGGAAAATGCAGATACCGCAGCCAACAGGGGTTTTCTGAGGATTAACTCGAGTTCAAATGAGCACATGCCCCTGGGAGGAAAATGTTCGTTTCCTCCCTGCTGTTCCCCAGCACCCCGCCCTGCCCCATTCTCTCAGTGCCCCTCTACGGGAGAGCAGATTGCTTCTGGCACAGACGCCAGTGTCGGGGCGGGGGCGGGGAGGGCCGCAGGCACCCTCCAAGATGGTTGCCTGGGGCTGGCCAGAGACTCCTCCCCACCCCCAGGCCTCAGCCAAGCTGCACCGGATCTGTGGGAGCCCCACGCCCAGGCCAGGAAGAGACAAGGTCTCCGGTTCATTCTGTCACAGCGGGTTTCAATTCCACCCCAGGGGAGCCCCAGCCTAACCAAGGAACTCTTACAAATCAACAGGCTCACGCTTGGTCGCAGCAAGTTTATTTTGTGCTGTCCGCGCTGGACACAGCACAGAGCTGGTGTCGGCCCCCTGAGAGCACCCCACCTCCCCAGCACCGAGGAGGGTCAGGAGAGAGTGGACATTCAAGGCCAGGGAAGATAAGACTGCTCAAGTGGCAGGCGGGGTTCCCCATCGCACACTCAGACTCAAGCGGGGCAGGTGAGGGGTGAACAGTAACGAAGGAAGGGGTGATGGGGTCCCCCCCGCCGCCATGTCAACTTTCCACTGGGGCAGCGGGAGGCCTGGCAATGCCGTGTGTGCAGGGTGCTGGCTGGTGGCTTTTCCTCGGCAGGCGCCTTGGAGAGAAGCTGAGATGGCGGGAGGCCGGGGCAGCGGTGCCCTTATTGCTTCCAGTGGGACGCGGGCCCTTCCCAGCTCACTTCGGGCGGGAAACCAGGGCCACCCATCAGCCCCCTCAGGCCTCACAGGTCCCGACCGGGGCGAGGCCTGCTCTGGTGGTCCTCCTGTCAGGGCAGCGAGACACCAGGAGGGCTTCAGCCGAGCTGCCCTGTCTCTGCTACCGCTAGGGACCACCGAACTGACCGCCACTCCAACTGTCCCTTCAAGTGACCACTCTTCGTTCTGCTCGTCAGAGTTCCACCCTTTTCAGTAGAAGGCAAATGCTGGGTTTCACTTTCTGTCCTGACATACACGTGCACACACTTAGGAGGCAAGCAGGTAAAGGGAAGGGGACACAAGGGACACATCCAGGCTGACAATTTCTCCCTGGGCGTAGGCAAAGGGAAGAAAGACTAGGACAGTCTCTTCAGAGGCAGCTCTGCAAGGCACACACCACAGAGAGCCCACCTTTGCCCCCTCCTCCGGCCAAGTCATTTCAGGCTCGAGTCCACAAGAACCCACAATTCACCAGAAAGGACCCAAAGACACAGGAACAAAAGAGCTGAAGGTCACCAGCTTTGGCGCTTAAGCAATGAGGCGTCCGCGGTCAGACGCACACTTGCTGGGTTCTTGAGTAGGGCTCGGAGTGTCCTGTTGTGCCAGAAGGGGTCCCCTCTCACGTGGAAAGGCAGAATTCTATGGCTGGAGGTGAGGTCTGGAGAGATCCCCACCCCCCACCCTCAATCCCTCAGCTACCCCACCACTGCCCTTCTAAGGCCTCGCGATAAAAAACCCTGAAAAGGGGAGGGCGCCTTTCATGTGTAACTGTGGGGCTGCGAGACTGTTAGCTGTTGTACAAGGGAATCACCCGGACGATATCCTGCCGGCAGATGGGGCACCTCTTGGGCTCCGGCAAGGAGCGGTAGCACTCGGTGCAGGAACACACGTGCCCACACTCCAGGAAGGCGCAAGACTTGGTGTTGCTCAGGCACACGACACAGGTGCTCTTTAGACTCTCCCTGTCCTCGGGCCTGGCTTGGCTCAGCAGCTGGGCCTCCCGCTCCCGGAACTCCTTCTCCATCTGCCTGAGGCGCAGGCGCTCCTGCCACTGCAGGTACTGCTTTCGGAGGATGAAGAAGAGGGTAGCACACGTGGCGAAGCCAAAAACCAGCATCAGGACCTTCCAGAGCCTGACGCTCGACTCCTGCCTCTGCAGCAGGCTCTCAAAGTCCTGGCTGCTTAGGTAGTACTGCATGCCCTGCTTGGGGGGCTGCAGGCGGACGGAATTGTTGTCCAGAACCAGTTCGCCCACCCCGGTGAGGGTGGCCCCGACCTTCAGCATCTCCTCGGTCTCCTGGATGCCTTTGGGCCGCTCGCCGCTGATGTAGTGGCCGATGACATCCGTGAAGGACTGGACGGAGGGGTGGAACTTCTCGTACACAGTGTCCAGGCCCAGGTCCATGGAGTCCAGGGGTTTCAGCACTCGCACGGCCACATCCACGCCGTCCTCATGGGGTACCAGGTCAAAGGGCACCGTGTTGGTCCTCTGGTGGATGATCTTTGAATAGTCATTCCTAAAACAGTAAGAGAATCCAAAATAAAATAAAGGACAGCACACACCTCCCGCGCAGGCAGAGATGGAGGTCACATAATCGCCCAGAGGACGGGAGAAAGTCGGAAGGAACGCGAAGAGTACAACAGAAACTACTGCTGTCCAAGCACCTCAGGTTCCCAGGTCCCCAGGTCCTCAGGTGGTAACAGAAGGCAACAGATACTGGCACAGATCACCTCTATCGTTTGTTTCCTTTTGCCATTTTAACATAAATATCCGATTCTTTAAAAAAATTAAAAACAGAACTACCATATGATCCAGCAAAGCTCACTTCTGGGTGCTGAACTGAAATCAGGTTCTTGAAGAGAGACCTGTGCCCCTAGGTTCCCTGCAGCATTGTTCACGACATCCAAAGCGTGGGCACCACCTAAGCGCCCACCAGTGGGTGCGTGGATGAAGAAATGTCACACACACGCACATACTGGAATATTCTTCAGCATAAAAAGAAGGAGATCCTGCCATACACAACAAGATGGAGAAACTTGGAGGGCACTATGCTAAACAAACCTAGCAACTCACAGGACAAATATGGCATAATCCCATTTATGTGAAGTCTCTAAAATAGTCAAACTTATGGAAACAGAGAGTGAAATCGTAGTAGCCAGGAGCTAGAGGCGGGGGGAAGAACATGGGAGTTGCTGTTGAATGAGTATGAAGTTTCAGTTATACAAGATGAATAAATTCTAGAAATCTGCTGTACTACTTTGTGCCTGTAATTAACAATACTGTATTACCGCACTTAAAAATTTCTTAAAAGCGTGGATCTTGTGTTAAGTGTTCCTACCACAATAAAAAATAAAATAAATACAAAACGAAAACCTACTAGGATCATTTAGAAAAATGGTACTCCACTAAATGGCAAAATAATCCACAAAATTATCTCAATAAATATTGAAATCATTAATCCACACCATAAATCAGTAGTTAAAACTTTTAGTGGCCATCCAGATTCCAAGCCTCCTATCCTGAAATTCTGAATTTGGTAGGTCTGGAATGAAGCCTAGGAATCTGCATTTGCACAAGATGCCTAGGTGACTCTGAGTTAAGAGGTCCTCAGGCCACACACAAGAATATAATCAGCCCTGGCTGGGTATCTCAGTTGGTTAGAGCATTGCCCCAATACGCCAAGGTTGTGGGTTCAATCCCCGGTCAGCGCACATACAAGAGGAAACCATTAAATCCATAAATAGGTGGTAAAACAAATCAACGTCTCTCTCTCTCTCTCTCTCTCTCTCTCTCTCTCTCTCTCTCTCTCTCTCTCTCTCTCTCTCTCTCTCTCTCTCTCTCTCTCTCTCTCTCTAATAAATAAATTTTTTTGAAAAGAGTATTATGAGAATTAAGAAACTGGAGAGGCTGGCTGTCAGGTTTTGGGCCAGCGGAGAAAGGCTACGTACCAAAGGTGGGTTGTTCGGTTCCACACCATCTTGTGCTCCTGAAGTGTCAACCGCTGAATCACCCCCTTGCAGTTTTCCACAAACTGGCTGTTGAGTGTTTCTTTAACAGCCCGAACAGCTCCTAAATGGAAACAAATTACTTTCTTTCTGAAGAATTGTTCTGCCCTTCCCTGTAAGGTAATTTGAAATGTGTTTTTAGTTTCAGTTAGTTTCATTAATCAAAATGATGAAAATGTAATCACCCTAAGTGATGTTTTCTGGGCGCTCTTCCAAGCACTACAACAACCCTGTAAGGCAGAAATTACTTTAGAGATGGGGCAATTGAGTTTCAGATAGGTTGGGTAATTTCCTCCAATGATCCAGGTCTTGCTGACTCCATAGTCCCAGTTCTGGACCACTGCCCCGACGATACAAAAGGCCCTTGAATATCCGCCAAGAACAAACTTTTAGAACAGGAAGTTACTTTTCCTTTTACCAATAAACAAACTTACCTTCGATGACAGCATAAGGCACACATTTTCCTGGAGCTTCTGAAAGGATACTCTTCAAGTCTTCACCCAAGTGGATTCTTTTAGCTCCCTAAATGCAAGCAACATATTAAACTGACTGTTGAATACCAACAAGTTCAAACTTAAAGGGAAGAAAAAAAAAGACTATTTTTTTCCATGTGAAAAGAATGAGGTCATCAGGCAGGAAGGAGACTACAGGAGAATCAGGCTCCAAAGCTCTCTCCCAGAAGTTTTAACACACAAACAGGCGTGGGGCAGCACCTCCCGCTGCCATCTACCAAATAGGGGTGCCACAGACGTTCTTTCTCCAGTTCATGGAAACATACACTCCTTTTCATCTTAATTTTTTTTAATGAAAATTAAGCATCAACTTGCATACCATAAACTGAACATAATTCGATCTCTTCTTGACAATACAGAACCAGGCATCCCAAGAGCTACCTTGTAAAGCATCTAAACGGGTCCCTAGCATATGGTAGGGGCTGGAGCAACAGCAGGTATTACTATTACCACGCCTTTATCAATTCATGCTCCGCATTACACACTACCAGGAAGGAGTGCCTTTGCTTTCTAGGGCAAGGCTCTGTTAACTGGTGCCAAACGCTGTTCTATTTTCAGTCCATCTTTCTTCCCTCTCATAATCAGGTGACCACGGTGATGTCTGCGCCTGTCTGCCTCTAACGACAGCTCCTCCTCCTTCCACCCCTTCCAGTTCAGAGTTTCCAAGCTGCTGTGCTTGGGAACCAAGCAAGCCTGCTACGGCTAAATCAAAAATAGGAGAAAAGTAATAAAATTAATAAACATTTCTTGAGCATCTATGTGCCAGGCACAGTGCTGGGAGCCAGGGATTCGGGGATGAATGAACAACAGTTCCCACTTTCAGGGTAGTCCCATTAACAAATCTTAAGGATGCCAGGTAAGTAACCCCTAAAGAGGAGATGAGATACTGCATACATATTAAGGGCAATCTAAGATGAAGCTACCGCTACAAAGTAAATGACAAGAACAAGGTCAATGAACCACCTACACTGTGAAGGTAATTTTAAAAAATAGCTGACGTTGTTTACTTACTTGTTTTATTATTTGTCTCCCTCCACAGGAGTATTAAACTCCAGGAAAGTTAAGACTGTCTTGTTCACTGCTGGTCCCCTAGCGCTGAGAACAGTGCCTGACACGCAGGAAGCACTCAATATGTATTTGATGAATAAGTAAGCACTTAGATACGCTACAGAGCAGGCGCTGCTCTTCCCAAGACATCTGCAGGGTCTCCCTCACCTCATTCTGGGCTCCGTTCAAATGTCGCTTTATTTAAAATAGCAAACCTCTTTGTCTGCAGCATTACATTTCCCCTCCTCCCTGCAAGACTCCTTAGTATATATCCCTATCTGGCATACCATCTGATGTATTCGTTCACTGTCTGTCTGTTTGCAGTAGAACAGAATCTCCATGAGGGCAGGGCCTTTAGTCTGTTCTACCCATGCGATAGCCCCGTGCCCCCAGCTTAGCAGGTATTCCCTAAGTATTTGTCGAATAAAGTACTTAAGTCAAAAGTCACTCTGAGTCATGGCAGGGTCTTAGCAGAAGGGTCCCCGTGAAGCAGTTACGACGAGGCCCGAATTCTGATTCCAGTTCCTCCAGCGGGTGACGCCCTCCTTTAGCCTACTTCCTCTTTTGGGTAGTTTCCGACAGTGGAGCGGGCCAAGACGAACTCCGGGCCCACTACTACCGGGGGCAGAGATGACCCGGCTGAGGCCAGGCCAGCTCCAGCACTGACCTTGAGCTCTTGGGCGTCCCGGGCCTTCTGCCGGTACACGGAGTAGAGGACGGCGGTGACGACGGAGCTGCTGCCCAGAAGGATGAACTGGACCAGCGACGGCCGCCCTCCGCTCTCCATGGCTGACCTGGGCCCGACGTGCAAGAGAGTACGCCGAGATCAGGCCCCGCGACCCCAGGCCTCCACCGCCCTCCACCGCCCTCCACCGCCCTCCACCCCAGAGTGCACCCCCAAGAAGGCCTTTCCCGGAAACCCGCATCCGGTCGCCAAGCGATGACGTGTCGAACCGGAACTGGGGGCGGGGAAGGAGCGGAAGATGGGGTTGCCAGAGTGATCGCCGCGCTGCTGAGGCGTCCTCGGGGGCGGGGCCTCGCGAGGAGGATCTAGGGAATACTTTGCTGGAGCTGAGCGGTCGTCCTCGCTCTTTGAACGCCTCGCCATACACACACGACGCACCGGCCAAAATTGGGTTGCCCGCCTCTCCCTAATCTCGGTCCCTTTGATTCCCTGGGGTTGTTGGGTTGTTTAATGCCTCCACCATTAGATTGGGAGGAAAGAACAGAATATATAATAAGCATTTATGCATTTAAGCGTTAGAGCAAACCTTGAGACTTGGGTTATATTCTTCCACTTTACAGATGAGAAACCAGGCCAGAGAGGTTAGGAGGTGTGCTCAAAGTCACACTAACAGTACTAAAGAGGAATTTACTGGACTCCAGATCCCTACTCCAAGAGGGCAAATTATATCGCCAAAGTAGTCCCGTATTCTGCCATCACTGCATATAAAAACATATTGTTTATTAACTACTAATTACAGCTGCATTTATTGAAAGTTTATATTGTGTCAGGTATTATGACAAAAAGCTTCACAGACATCATACCGTTTAATCCTCACAGCACGGCTATATAGCAGGTTTCAGAGACTGTTTTGTAATAGGTGTGTAATGATACCTTATCATGGCTTTAATTAGAACTTCTTTAATGACTGATGATGCTGAACATCTTTTTATGTGCTTATTTTCCACCTACATAACTTCATGGATGAAGTATCTGCTCAAATCTGTTCCACATTTTTTATTTGGTTTTCTAAATTATTGAGAGTTCTTTGTATGTTTTAGATACAAGTCCTTTACCAAATACGTAATTTACAAATATCTTCTTCAATGCTGTGGCTTGAACCTCCCATTCTTTTAAATTGTCGTTTGAAGAGCAGAAGGTCTTGGTTTTTATGAAGTCCGACTGATCAGTTGTGTTTTATTTGTTTGTTTTGTTGTGGTTTTTTTTTTGATAGATCATGCTTTTGGCGTTGCATCAAAGAAGTCTTTGTCTAACCTAAGATCACAAAGATTTTCTCCTGTTTTCTCCCACAAGTGTTACAGTTTTAGGTCTGACATTTAAGTCTACGATCCATTTCGAGTGAGTGTCTGCCTATGGTGTGCCAGGCACTGGCTTTCCCTGCTGTGCCCCATGCCATCGCTCTCACATCTGCTGCATAGTACTTGGGTTACTATTTTTATCCCCATTTTACGATGAGGAAACTCAGTGCGATGAAGTTGCAGCGTTCATCCAATTTCATTTTCCTCCAGAGCTTTATGCTTAAGCACCAAACCATACCTACTTATATTTCGTTCATGTTGCTGGCCCTAAAAACAATTTAGTGATTGATGGGGGTCATTTCCTCCCCTGAACCACACGCGTCACTCCCATTCAAAGGTTTACTCAATGACAGCCCATTTAGGAAACTTGTCTGGAGGCCAGAATTCCACTGGGAATAGTGGAAATTATTTGTAAAATGGTCTGCAGGGATCCTTCCATCTCCACCATGATCTCTGGGATTTTCGCAGGAACAGGTGCAGTCAGGCTGCAGTGGATACTGTTAGCCACAAGGAGGCGCCAAGAGCACAGGATGCAGAAGGGGGAAAAAAAAGCGGAGGTTGGGGAGTAGACCGGCATGGGGCCTAGAGAAGGGAGCTGGAGGGATAGCGAGGGTCTGGAGATTTAAGGGGAGCGCTGAAGCTAAGCGTGGACCCATGCTGGGCTGTATCTAGGGGCCCAGCTAGTCCACAGGCTTGCTATTTACCAGCAGGTCCTGTGACCATCACCTCCAGCCTCCTTTCCACGCCACCCCGCTCCCGCTCCTGTGACGTGCAGGATCCTGACCCCCCGCCACCCCACCCCTACCACCATCCCCCTTTAGTTATTAACAGCACCTGTGGTCGGTGTAAGGCACCTAGCACCCTGGGTATTGGGAAAAGATGATTTAGGCGCCCTGAGTCCTAATCAGCTTTGCCATTTACTAGCCATGTGACCTCTGGCAAAGTTCCAGAACATTCTTGAGTCTCAGTTTCCCATCTGTATTCCAGCTGGGATTCAAGTTAAGCTACTTGAAAACAGGAGATTAAAACAGCTCTTCCCCAGGTACTGCGCAAAGCACTTCACTGCTCTGAGGCTGCCTTTTCTCAGCCAGAAAAGGGGGTGATACCCGTTTCTGCTCTGACTGCTGCAGCCCAGATAAGCTGAGGTGCAGGGAATTGGTATAGGCATGTTAGGAATTCTTCTCCTTTTATTATTTGTGTTCTTGGTTTGCAAAACATAAGCAAGGAAGTGGATGAATTTGAGCAATTGAACAATTGTTTTTTAACCTATTAAATCTGTTCAGCATCATTTGGTAGGTAATATTGTAATTTCTGAAAATTGCCTATTGTATTCACAATATAAACAAAAGTTGAATAACCTACTATGGCTGAAAGGCAAATGAGTAATAGACATAATACGGAAGTTCAGAGGAGGAAAACAGCATTGCCAAGGGCTTGTATGGTTAGGGAACAACAATAGCAGCAACTTTTACTGAACACCTACTATTTGCCGTGCATTAAGCCAAGTATTTTACATACAGAATCATAAATCTTTGATTTGAAGCAACTTTAGGGGCCATCTACCACCCCTGTAATTATATACTTATGTGTATAATTGTTCACTGAGGGTCCATCTCCCCTGTTAAATTCTAACCCGAGTGTGCCCAGGAGTTTTCTGTCTTGTTAACTGCTGCATCCTCAGTATTTAGCCCAGTACCTGGTATATAAGAGGTCCTCAATATTTGCTGAATAAGTAAATGAAGAAATCAACAACCCTGTTCCACACTGACTCCCAACAGGAGAAGCCTTTCTACATTGGCTCAGAGAGGGACCTCAGCCTTTGCCTGAACAGTTCCTGTGGTGGAGAACTCGCTGCCTCACAAGGAGTCTCTGTCAGCTGTCTCGTATCCCCGGCATTTCACCTCCTTCGCCCCGGCTCTGTCATCCTGAGCCTTGTCCATCCTAAGGAAAGAGCTGAATATGGAGCCCTTCTGCACATCTCAGTAACTGCCTTTGAGTCTGCCAACCAGGAACCCACCTAATTCTGATGGAAGGAAGAAACACTATGATGGCTAGAAAGGGTGCAAGTTCATCTTTTCCTCGAGATATAAGGAAGGTGTCTCTGTGTGAGGCAAATGAATGGAATAGAACTTGATGAGAAAACAGACTGTAGATACTAGAGAGGAATAGATAAATGTAGGATCCTCTGGGGGATGGTGTACTGCAGGGAGGAGGACCTTAGCCTTATCCCTCACCAGCGATTGGCTTAAGAATGAGCATGTGACCCAGTTCTGGCCAATGAGCTAGAAGGGAAGGTCTGCTGAGGGACCTCAGGGAAGTCTGCTCTTCAGGAGCACAAACTGAAAGGGATGGTTTCTTTTCTGTCTCTGACCAATGTATCTGGAGGTGACGCAACTGCCGAAGCCATGTTGCTGTCACCAAGACCAATACATGGAGAAGGGCAAAGCCATAAGGCAGTGGGGCCAGAGCTTTGAGCTAGCTGTGCCTGAAGACATTCCATTCCTTTTTTTTTTTTAATTGATTTTGGAGAGAGAGAGGAAGGGAGAGAGAAAGAGAAACATCAGTTCGTTGTTTCACTTATTTATGGATTCATTGGTTGATTCTTGTATGTGCTCTTATCTGGGATCGAACCCGTAACCCTGGTGTATTGGGACGGTGCTCTAACCAACTGAGCTATCTACCCCACCAGGGCAAGGCACTCCATTCTTGAACTTCTTGTCGATGAGATGATAGACCTTCTTTGTGTAATCCCAGTGAACTGGCCCTTGATAAGTACCACCACCAATAGCATCCTAACAGATATAGATAAAAACTGAACAGCATACGAGGGCTATTTCAATGCCAAGTGCAGAAGCCCAACTGTCATGCACTTAAGCAACATGGAATATGTTGGTTCAAATAACTGAAAAGTTAGGGTTGTCTGGATCCAGAGACTCAAGTCCTGTAGGGCATGGTGCCCAGGATCTCAAGGACTCCTGAGTCACCCCTGACACACCCTGCTCTTTTCCAGGCAGACCTACTTGATGCCCACCAGATAGGTTCTGCTGCCTGTCAGTTCTGTGGCCACGTGTCGGTCACTGAAGACCCTTGAGCCCCCATTTCCCCATCTGCTCAATGTTTACCATGTACAAATAGCTCCCAAGAACATACACATTAAGAAAACTTTGTGTCGAAACACAGCTAATATTTACTGAGTGCTTATTCTATGCCAAAGCCTTTGTATGCCTTATCCAATAAAATCCTTGTGATAACCTGTGGCAGAGACAGCTGATTATACCCCAATGTTTGCTCCATCCATTCTTTCCTGGTAATAAAACCTCTCATGTTTAGCTGGGCACATAAAAACTACAGTTCCAAGCTCTCCTTGCAGAGGTACCACCATGTCACTAAGTTCTGGACAAAGGAAAGAAAAAGGAAGTATCATATCAAACTTCTAAGGAATGTTCTTAAAGGGAAAGAGGAACATCTTCTTGTACTCCCTTCTTTCTTCTGGCTGGTTGGAATTCAGTCAAGAAAGCTGGAGCTCCAGCAGTAATTGTGGGTCATGACGTAAAGGCCAGGTGTTGAGGATGGCAGGGCAACAAGATAAACGGGGCTTGGCTCCCCAGTGGCTACGAAGGCATACTGCACTTCCGACATCTATAATAGAGAAGTGAACTTTGGCTTTTGTTTTTTCTGTTATTCCCAGCAGAACCTAGTCTCAACTGCAATCCTGACTCCCCAGTACTAGCTGTCCCTAGCCACCTCCCTGTTTTAATAATCTGTATGATTATCATTGGTCTGCCATAGAATGTAAGCTCCGGAGAACAGAGATTTTCTGTTTCATCAACTTCCA